CAAGAGTCATTAGTTTCATGGTGTCTATTGAGTTCTCATAATCACAACCTGAAATAATGAATTTTAGTTTGACATACTACATTAAAAAGAAAACCTTCATGAAATAAAAATAATTTTAATCCATGAAAGCAGCTGGATGATGTGACTTCTAAATTGCATAAATATTTTCCTAGGCGTTCCTGGAAAGAAAGACACTAAACAAACCAGAAATCCCCAAACCCATCCAGAAATGCTGATATAGCACAAAAATATTTAAGTAACTACTTTTATCTTTTTTGAAGATTTACTGATTTTGTTCCTACATAGGGGTGGGTGGAAGTAGAAAGAGAAATAAGGCTTTTTTGATACAGTGTGTTTTACGTAAGTTTTTATGAATTAGAATGATACTGAACCTCCCTAAATAAGTAGTGGTACTTTTACCCATGAAGGATAAAAGTAGCGGTTTAAAACACAATTGGATAACAGGCCTACAACTACAGACTTATAGACATATGCAGCTTATTTACAGAATGACAAAGTTCATGTTTAAAATTCTCAAATCAGCACGGATACAAAGATCTTATTTAATACTTGCTGTTCCTTTCTGAATATATAAATTTTGGTAGAAGGTCATCAGGTTAGACTGGTGGTTATATGTGTAGTGGTGACCTTTCAGTGCTACTCTCATTTATACCTTTGTTATGCAATAGATCTACATGGAATGACATAATTTCCTGTTATGGTTTTGATGTTCACAAACATATGTGGTACAGCTGTTCTTAAATAACTTGTTGCATGCTGATTCAAGTCTAATGTCCAGTGTGAGTTTCCAGTACATGATACTGGTGTATCTCTATAGAGGATGTGTACAATTTTAATTTACTTTAACTGTAAGATACCTTGTAAAGAGCAATAACCTTTGGTTTTAAGGTGATAGGAGGGATGATTTCCTCTAAAGTCATTGTAAGACATATAGCTTCTACCACAATTTCATGTGCCAACCTGAGGCTTAAACTAAACTTTCTGTCACTTTTTCCTTCTATTAAAGATTTCTCGTATGGAGTACGTCCATTCAAAGAACGTGATATACAGAGATGTAAAACCTGAGAACTTCTTAATAGGACGACCTGGAAACAAAACCCAGCAAATCATTCATATTATAGATTTTGGTTTGGCAAAGGAGTATATAGATCCAGAAACAAAGAAGCACATACCATATCGAGAACACAAGAGCCTTACAGGAACAGCTAGATACATGAGTATAAATACACATTTAGGAAAAGGTATGTGTGTTTTTCAAGTGGAGACACAAGAATTCAGCAGCTGTCACTTGTCTGAAATCATCTTATTTCCAAGTTGCAATTTTTCTCAGTCTGTAGTCATTAAGAACTGTGTAAAACTTTAGTTTGTCCTTATGGAAATACTCTTTATGGGAATAAGGTTCTCTGGGTTTCTAATCATCATGGTCATGTCTCAGCAAATAATTATTTTTGTTGGATTACCTATAAAAGAAAGGTGACGTGTATCTTTTTGAATCCTAACATCTTCATTAGAAATATACCTGGAGAGAAGATGGGGTGAGTGGGAAGGTGGATATGCTTATTGAAGCTATCGAAGTGCATAAATTGCAACAACAGAGGTTTTCAGTGTTACCTTGCCCTTTTTTTTTCTCTTTGAAATGCAACATGTAGTGGAGTAAAAGTAGCTTATATTTGATGCTGATTTCTTGATGATTTATTAATGCTTACACTGTTAATGGGGCTTTGTCAGAGTAGTTAAAGGTTATGATAGTATTGTAAATACGAGCTAAAGGAGTGACAGGATATTTAGAGGTAAGCTGTTATTTAATTACTGAATTTAGCAGGAAGAAGGTCGTGAGCACTCTAAACGGTCTGTTCCAGTTATATATATGTTTTCTAGTGAAAACGGATGTCATGCTGTTGAATTTGTGTAAACCAGTTGCCTATTGCTGCATGGTAATATCTAATCAGGTTGCTCTTTGAATTGGTCATAAAAAAATGTTGCACATCAAAGTTGCTTCAAGTTAATATGGCAAGTGAGAAACCATTCACATTTTCCAGATAGCAATAAGGTATTTTATCAATAAAATCAGACCACAGTAGTTTGTGGTTAGCACAAGATCATTGAGTTCAACCGTTAACCTAACACTGCCAAGTCTAATCCTAAACCATGTTCTGAAGCATCTTTTAAATAAGTCCAGGAACAGTGACCACTTCCCTGGGCAGCCTGTTCCAGTGCTTGACAAACCTTTTGGTGAAGAAATTTTTCCTAATATCCAATCTAAACCTTCCCTGGCTTAACTTTTATGCCACTTTCTCTTGTCCTATTGATTGTTACCTGTTTTTAACAAAGTTGTTCAACTTCTTTGTCCGTGACACAGTCGGTGGGATTTAGTGCACCCTCAGCAA